AGTGGCCCGCCCCGTGGGGGGGGGGGCTGCGTAGAGGGTGGCTGACAGTGGGGTGACCCGCGGGTACCTGAGCATCTTCCTGCAGGAATTGGGAGTTTTGCATCCCAGGCTGTTTCCATGGGGATGGTCCCTATGGCGATGCAATTCCTCGGCTCAGCCCGGCCCTGCGATGATTTCGATATGGGGAGGGGGGTGGTCAGAGGGGGGGACCTGAATGTTCCCGACATTAAATTAGCCGGGGTGTAGTTCACTGTTTGAAAACAAAAGCTCCTAATTCTGCGGGGAAGCCAGCTAAGGGGCCGCTGCCCTGGCTTTGCTCTTCCTCGAGGAAATACCACAGGGTGGGACGTCAAATCCAATGGATTTTGGGATCCCTGGGGATCCCTCTTGCCGACCCAGCGAGGACTGGCCTCTCCCCTTTCTGGGGAGCGCCCTCGCCCCCCCCGGGCAGGGCTCTGCGAACGGTGCCGGGGTCAGGCTCAAAGCCCCCCATCCTCCGGGAGGCCTTTTGCAGCCCCGGGGAGGGTTTGGACCAGGCTGGGGGTTTTCCAGACAATTTTCTGCCTGGTAGAGCCGTGGTCCCGAGCCCTGGGGGCTCACGGTACAGAGACCGTCAGGGGGATGGGGTTGCCGGGGGGAGCGGTACCCCCGAAAATGGCAAAGGTGCCTCTTTAGTGGGTCGTTGTGTCCAAAAGCAGATATTCCTGGGGGTGCGGGAGCTGTGCCTGGGAGGGTTTCGAAAAACGAGTGGTTTTGGCCACCTCAGTCCTGGCTTTTTTATTTATTTATTGATTGATTTGGTTTGATTTTTAAGAAAAGAGCGTTTGCAGAGCGGGGCCCTCCACCGAGGCCTTGCTGCTTCTAAATAACAGCCTGGAAAAATCTAGCGCCCGCAGCCCTAGGAGCAGAAGTTTCAAAAATAAATTCCTCCCCAGCCTCCAGCAGATTGAGCGGGCAGGGCCTGCTCCAGGGCCGTAATCCGGGCGGCAAATTGCCGAAAAATCCTCGGAGTGAACGGGCAGAGCTTTCGAGAGGCAAATTTCTCATTTTCTTGGGCTAAAAATAGATGCATGAAAAATTGCTTTTAAAATGGACGAAGAGGTGGTGGGTGACTTTGCTGTCGGCATCCTGCCGGTGAGAGGGGGTGTCCAGGATGCTGAGTGCCCGACCAAAAGCGTTGCCGATAGCCGGGCTCTTTCCTGAAAGCCTCCATTAGCGTGCGTGAGCGCTGTGCTTTGGGTTTTTTCCTTTTTTGAGACTAAAAGGCTGAAAATGGCCCCGTTTTGGGCACTTTGCAGGGTGCAGCGTTACCTCACGCCGCCTCCTTTGGCTTTAGTTCAGGCAAAAGGCGGCTTGCAAGAGCAAGGAGGAGCAGTCCCAAAAATCTGCCTGTGCTTAGAGGTGAAACGTGGTCGGTGCCAGGAGAAGGACGGGAAGAAACGAGGGTGATGACAAATGTCACCTCCCAGCCCTTCCTGGAAAATAGATGCATGAAAAATTGCTTTTAAAATGGACGAAGAGGTGGTGGGTGACTTTGCTGTCGGCATCCTGCCGGTGAGAGGGGGTGTCCAGGATGCTGAGTGCCCGACCAAAAGCGTTGCCGATAGCCGGGCTCTTTCCTGAAAGCCTCCATTAGCGTGCGTGAGCGCTGTGCTTTGGGTTTTTTCCTTTTTTGAGACTAAAAGGCTGAAAATGGCCCCGTTTTGGGCACTTTGCAGGGTGCAGCGTTACCTCACGCCGCCTCCTTTGGCTTTAGTTCAGGCAAAAGGTGGCTTGCAAGAGCAAGGAGGAGCGGTCCCAAAAAACCGCCTGTGCTTAGAGGTGAAACAAGCTCTGCCTGCTCACAGTGGGGCTGGGGGGATCCCGTTAGGCAATAACCGAATTTCTCCCCGCCTCCCCCGTGCGTTGCTAATGACCTGGCACCCTCTGGGAGAGGGTCCGGCGAGGACGGGGGGCTGCCGGTGCCCCAAATCCAGCTTACCCCTCTCTGAGCGGCGCCATGCTCGCCCTGCGTTTTAAAACGAGGGTGACCAGCCCGGGGGGCCCCATCGCCCGAGCCCGCGGGGCTGCAGCACCCCAAGCCCCACTTCAGCTCTTGGCCCCCCGTTTCGGGGCCAGCGTTTCGTTGTGGCGCGGCGTCAGGGGCTCTCTCGCTGCCTTTCAGGGGCAACACCAGGGTGGAGGAAGCCTGCGAGATGTACACCGGAGCGCGCGCCTGCCTTGAAGCAAGCAGCGAGCTGTCGAGCACCCCTTTGAGTTCTGGCTGGCTTTACCTTCCCCAGACGCTGCGGCACTTTGTCGCGTACCAGAGGTTGCTTTTTGCGGGCGGCTCTTTGCCGAGCGCCTCGGGAGGCTCTTGAGAAGCCGGCTGCTCCTGCCCAAAAAGGAGGGACTCGAGTCGGAGAGGGGGCAGGCTCCAGGCTCCTTAGGAAGGTGCCAAAACTCTTCAAGTTGCCACTTGAGGGGGTTTCCCTCGGCCTCTCTGTCCCCGCTTGATGCAGTGAGAAACTCTCGCCTCCCCTTTCTAAGGGCCGGGTTGTTCGGCGCCTGCCAGCTCTGCCTGCTCACAGTGGGGTTTGAAAACAAAAGCTCCTAATTCTGCGGGGAAGCCAGCTAAGGGGCCGCTGCCCTGGCTTTGCTCTTCCTCGAGGAAATACCACAGGGTGGGACGTCAAATCCAATGGATTTTGGGATCCCTGGGGATCCCTCTTGCCGACCCAGTAGTGAGGGCGAGCACGGCTGCCACAGATGAGCATGCGGGTGGGATGTACCCCTCGGCAGAGGAGCAGCGCCTGGCCACAAACAATTTGGGTTTTTGCATCTCCCGGCCCTTCCGGGTCCCGGGAAGCGACGCGTGCTTCGCCGTTTTGCGGCGATCCCGCTCGTTGCCGGGCCGGAGGGGTACACGGGGTCGGCGTGCGCTTCTCTCCCAGCCGCAGGGAACGCGTTTTGTCAGGCGGCCAAGCTGCACATGCAGCTGCAGAGCAAGCACGACTCGGCCACCAGCTTCGTGGATGCCGGCAACGCCTACAAAAAAGCAGACCCGCAAGGTAAGGGGAGCGAAATCCGGGATTGTTTCTTGCAAAGCCACTTAGCGGCAGAGGAGGTGGCGCGCCAGGCTCTCGGTAGTCACCGGCTCTGCGGGGCTGCGGATCCTCGCTCCGACTCGAGAGCCGCAATAGCTCCCGCGCTTCTGCCTCTCCAAGGCAGTCCTTGGGGTGCCGCTGGGTAGCCGGCACCGTCTTGGCCTGCCGCGCGGACCGGCACGCGTGGGCGAGTCGTCCCCAGGTGATCCCTGGCGCTTCGGCTCTACCGAAGCCTTTGCTGAGCTTGGGTACGCTGCAGCGCGTCGGCTGGGAGGCGCTCGGCAGCTTCCTTCCTGCTTGAGCTTGGCTTGGGAGAAACACCCGCTTCTCGGGGAATGCCTCAGGCAGGGCTGGATCGCGCCGGGCCCCCTGCCCTTAGCCCCAGCCCCCTCCCAGGGCTTTCCCCGGGGCCGAGGCGAGGCGGGAGGGAAACGGACTGACCTGCGATGGGCTGGGGGTCTGGATTTGTTAAACCTGGTGGTAGGGTTGTGGTTCTCCGGAAGACCCGCCATGCCCCTCACCCCAGCCGAGTGTTTGGAAACAAGCCAGCCAGCCCACCGGTGGCACCCCTGCTTTCCCGTGCCGGGGGGACGAAGAAACGAACTCCGGGCTGACGCTACGACTGGTTTACAGTTGTAAACCACCCAAACTTCCTAGAAAGCGGCAGCCTCTGTGTGTTTACGAGATCAGCGTTTTGAATTTTGCTGTTGGAGGGGGCAGCCT